CTACTGCTGACTGCTTTCCCTGGAAACTCCCTAACCCTGTGGTGCTGGGGAGGGACGGGGGGCGAGGCCTGGACTTACCTGTTGATCTGGGGCCGGGCCTTCTGCAGGGGAAGCGGGCTGCTCGAGGGGTCTCCCACTTTCTCCAAAGCCACTGAGTGCTGTGGGGGGGGGCTCATTGGGAGCCCTCGGACAAATGGCCGGGCCAGGGGAGCAAGTCCTGGATGTGCAATGGAGGCCAACCCACAATGGCCTGGGTGCAAAATGTGGGCACGTCTTCTCTCAGCTCCTGTTTTGGGAAAGCTAACAGCAATCCCGTGGACTGGCTAAGAGACAAAGGGGTGAGGGGGTTGTGGCCCCCTATTTTTAGTGTTCTCTTTTTATACCACCTAGTAATAACATGCAGTTTCCCATAGAGCAGTTTGATGTGACAGTGCGTTGGTCCATGGCCAGGAGGAACTGAAGTCCAGCCGTTCCTGACTTGTGCCTGTTCTGGGGCTGCCCTCGGATGAGCCCTCTTGGCGGGAGGAGAGGGAGGAATGACAGAAAGGGGTGCCATGTCTCCTGGCAAGACTCCCTCTGCCCATGGACCGCACTCTCGCCGTGCTCACGGCCAGGTCAGCTCACGGCTTACAGCTGCACTTGCACACTATGTGAAGTTTGGGTTGTGCTCACCTGGTTAGTTTTTTTAGTGTTACTGTCTTGTGCGAGCTGGTCCATTTCCTTAGTGGGGTTCAATACGTTGAACAAACCCAGAAAACAGATTGATTCAGGAAGCAGATTGTGCAAATGCGGTCAGTTTTGGACTGACCAGGTGCTGCGTCTGCCTGTGCTCAGATGCCTACAACACCCACCAGCTGCAGTCTTCCCAGGGGGAGACCCCCCTGTGGGCATCTGCTGGGTCATGGCCATTCTGAGGTGCCACCGTTGTGCCTGGCTACCTTCTTCCCTGGCCCAGCAAGGAAGCGCAAAGGGAGTTCTGGCTGCAGCAGGCATCCAGTGGGGCTCCAGGGGCCTCTTTCTGGGGAGAAACTGCATAGAGCTCACCCAGCCGCCCCCCCTTGGGCTACTCTGTGATGCGAGAGAGGGCTCTAGGAGGCCGTAAGCTCTCCTTAGTGGGGATGAGCAGCGGGCACGCATATGCAAGTGTTCCCCAGCCCCACCTTGGAGGTTTGGCCTGTTTTGTAGACTTTTCTGCATGAGCACAAAGGAGCTGGCACTGTTGCAGAGTAAGCACCCAAGGGCAGGGATGCCCAAGCTTGCCCTGGGACCTGTAGGGCTTCCTAGCTCCTACAAGAGGTCGCCCGGCCTCCCCAGATCCTTCCAGCATGGTGTGCTCCTCCTCTCTCTCTTCCAGGCCCACTCTGGGGAGGGAGGCCTGCCCCCCCCAGCTTCATTCACTGGGAACGACTCCCATCTGCCCCCCATCAGACCCTGAACCCCTTTAGCTGCTTGGGTGTGCTAGGCTGGCGGTAGTGGGGGGGATCATTCTGGTAGCAGCTGAGGAAACAAGTCCCTTTTGGCCAAATGTTTGCCCAGCCCCAGTGCAGCTGGTGTGCTTGATGGGGAAGGGGGAGGAGGGTCAGGACACACACAGCTGTTGGGCCCCCCCAAGCCATTCAGGGGCAGCTGCTCGCCTCACATGGGGGGGGCTTCCATGTCACCCTTTTGTTCCCACCAGCTCTGGGGCAGCTGTTGTGTGGAAAAGTTTGACTTTGCTAAAAGGCCATCTTTAAACAAGACCCCCTTAGACTCCTTAGAAATCTGCATCAGGGTCCCCATTCTGTCCCCCTCCCCATGGACACACATCGACTAAACATGTCCCATGTCTGGGCCCCTTTTGTGTGTCTCCCTGGCGTTCCAGGGGCTTCGCTTTGTGGCCATTGTGTGGGGCACACGCTCTGCACAAAAGAGACCCCAGCTCCTGTCTGCGCTGTGGGGCAGAATCGATTTAATGGTCTGGACCATCTGTGAAAAGGGGGGCGGCAGCAGGGAGGACTTCTGGATTTCCGCAGAAACTTTCCTTTTGATGGAAGAGTTTTGCAAAGTTCTCTTACAACTGAAAGTTAAATTCGGCAGCCTCAGCTTTTGGTAACATTTTCCCAGGCCCATTTAATTTTAAGCAGACCGTGTGGTTCCGTGAACCGACGTGGGAGCCTTGCGCATCGCACTCTGGCAGCCCAGGACAGCAACACTGGGAGGGACAGAAATGCAGGGGGGGACGGAGGTAGGGTTGTACCTGCCCCCCCGATTTTGGGGTGCCATTGAAGCAGCATGCAAACTGTGCCACCCTTCTGAAGGGCCAGGTAGGGGGCCAGGATGTGTCCTCCCAAATCCGAGGCTGGAGGAATGGCGTTCTCAGGTGACTGGAAGGGAAGTGGGGGGAGCGCTTCTAGCTCCACATCTCTTGCTGCAGTGTCAGAGCATGTCGGAGAGATCCACCTCAATGTGATGGCTCCAAAGTGGAATGCAAGAAGACCTTGTCCCCCCCTCCCCCAATTTGGTGCAGATGAGGTGTGGTGGATTGGAGACGTTTGTCCCAGAGCAAGTCCCTGAAGGGCTGTGAGGCTGGCCTGTTGGTAATTTCCATCTGTGGCAGGATCCAGTTTAATGTAGGGCTAATGGTAGAAGGAAGGGGGGACAAATGTGGCTGGGAGGCTCAGAGGTGTCAGCGACAGAGGGGCGGTTGTGGGAGGCCAGAAGCCTCCTTCGGCCCCGAGCTCCCCAGGAGCCTGAGAGGAAGGGGGCACCTCCGCTCCACACGCTCTCCTCGGCAGCCTGCTTCCCCCTTGCCGAAAGGCCGCCACGGCCCTGCGTGCAGGGGCCAGACTGAGGCTGGGAGCAGAGCCAGGGGAGCATCCATTGGGGGCTGAGGCCCGAGAGCTGGTGCCACATTTTCATTGGAAGAGCCCCTCCTTTTATGGCGTTTCAAAAAGGGAGGAAGGCGGGGTGGTCTAGGGCTGAGCTGCTCCAGGACTTCAGCCACCAGTTCAGACCTTTTCTGTCTGTTGTAACTTCGGGTGCCTCCATCCCTGCCTGGCAAAGGAAACGGCACCCCCTTTCTGACTCCTGATGAGGAAAGGGTCAGCTCAGGGCTTCCTAGGCACGCTGGGGTGATGCTGGCCCGGGGGCCGTGGCTCTGAGCCAGCCGGGGGACTCCTGGGCTGCAGAAGGGCGGGGGGCCCACGCCTAGCCCTGCCTTCCAGGGTGGCGTCTGGCTCACCTGTGTCCCTCCCACCTCCAGGCCCACAGGGGTAAGCGATGAACAAACTGCGGCAGAGCCTCCGGCGCAAGAAACCAGCCTATGTCCCAGAGGCGAGCCGCCCCCACCAGTGGCAGGCCGATGAAGAGGCGGTGCGCAAGGGACGCTGCAGCTTCCCGGTGCGGGTGAGTGGCCACAGGGCAGAGGGCCTGCTCTCCCCTCTCTCTGGCATTTCCTTCTTGGCTTGCATTGGCGCCTCTCCTCTGCCATTAGGGCTCAACTTGCGAGGGGGGGGGCGAAATCTGAAAAAGGCCCTCCGGGCAGGCAGAGGAAGCCCTTTCACTGCCAGATGCAAGAAAACTCTCTCCCGGGGTTGGTTCACTTGGCTTGCGCATACCCCGCCCCGGGACTGGTCAGATTCTGTGCAGCCCGGCAGCCATGGGATGTGGCTTCTGCTGCCCTTTTTGGCCTTCTGTGGCACAAAGGGTGGGTCTGGTCTGCTGACCACTCCCTCTTCCCTCCCCGCAGTACCTGGGCTATGTGGAAGTGGAGGAGTCTCGAGGAATGCACGTGTGCGAAGAGGCGGTGAAGAAGCTGAAAGTGGTGAGGGCTCCAGGCCGGGGGCAAGGTTGCTGGGAGTGCTGATGCCCTGGGAGAGCCTTCGCCCACCTGGCTCCCAGGATGCCAGACCCAAGGCTGCACACATCCTCCCTATGCTGTGGGATCTAAATGCCCTTATTTCAGTTGGCAGTCTTCTTGTTTGTCTGACTTTCTCTTAATTAGGGCTTTGCTGGTGGAACGCCAGACTGCCCCAGGGTCCTACTGGCCGGACAGAGTCATAGTTCATGCTGGACCCTGGGAATCCCCCCCCGTGGGAATTTGCTCTTCTTAAGTCTGAATCGGATGGGAAGGGGTGGTCGCCTCCAAAAACGCCTCTTCGGTCTTTGGGGAAATTGAATGACTCCTCAGCAACTTTGCACAAAATACTTCACCCGGTTACTGGATTAACCCATGTTCTGGGCTGGCACAGTCCACTGAGCCAGTAACTAGCCTAGGTCTGAGTTCACACAACGTGCTAATTAAGACTGAACCTTAGCAAACTTGGCATGTTGTGCAATTGTTAAGCGTGTCATGGAAACACAGCCATCACAACATATTAGAAAACAAAGTTGCCCCTTCTAAGCCTTTTAAAATAATTCTTGATGTGTTTTAAGGATTGTCTTCAAGTCATAAGATTCGTACCAAGTAGGTAGAATTTACGCTTCTTGTTATATTTATCAGTAGAAGCTTCTGTGAAGCTGCTGTTTGTCATTCATATTAATCCCCAAGCGCTGCCAACCAAGGAAAGAAAGCCATAGATTCGTTAAAGATAATTGGATGAATTTAATATATGGATTAAGTATGCAGACTTTTATATAAAATCACTGGTTCGAAGAGGAAGAGAGCTGTCTCTGTTTGGTGGTGCATATCTTGGCTGCTGAACCCCCATCTCTGAGAAGGCAAAAAGCCTTCTACTGCAAACTGCAGTATTTATAAATAATATGCCAACAAAAATAGAGTGGCCTCTTAGCCATATAGGTTTTGAATAATTTAGCTAATTAATCCAAGGTACGGGTTGCAATGGTGCACTTTTATTGCTTGCTCTTAGCCCAGGAGCATCCTTCCTCCTGCGCCCCCTTCCTCTCTGGGCTCCCTTCCTTGCCCTCAGAAGATCCTTCCCGCCCGGACTGGGGGAGGCAGGTTTGCAAGCATGAGACTTGCTTGTAAAATTAGGATTCCCGCCATGGGCCCTCATCCACCCCGAACCTGGGCAAGAACAGCTAGCAGCCCCCCAGGTTCCAAGGCGAGCAAAGCAACCCAACCCCCCCGCCCCCCGGCCCTCAGTGGGCATCTTTCTGCCCGGGAGGTTTGGAGAGGGATTCTCAGCCACCTGCGAGCCTGGGGGCAAGAAGGCTGCCCTGTGTCGGACCCGCTTAGGAGCCCCTCCTCCTGGGCCAGGCGAGCCTTTGTCCTTCCCTCACTGATGCTCTTTGTGGCCTCCGCAGAGCGGCCGCAAATCCGTGAAGTCCGTGCTCTGGGTCTCGGCTGATGGGTTGCGTGTGGTGGATGACAAGACCAAGGTAGGGTGTTCTGGTGGCGGGAGGCAGCTTTGCAGGGAGGGGTGGCGCACCCAGTCTGAGGGGAGTCTGCCCTTCTGTGCCCTGCTCTGCTTAAGAGGGAGGAAGTGCCGGACTTGGCGGTAGCCGGGCTCTGATTAATGGGGGAGCAGGAGGGGAGTCCTTCGCCCCCCCAAGCCAAAGCCAAGCCAAGGCAGTTGCTCGTGCCGGGGGAGGAGGTCCCTATGGCTCCAGGTGCAAGACATGGCTCAAGCCCCCAGCCCACCTCATCTCTTGGGGAAAGAGCAACAGCAAAAGCAGCAGCCAGGAAATCTGCCCAGAGCATATGCAGAGTGCTTTCATCCAGCACCACGGTGTGTGTTGGGGGAGCTGCTTCCAAGGCAGGGAGGGGGCAAATGCTCTGTTTTCAGTGTTGTGGAATTATGGCTGTCCCCCGCCTCCCCAGGACCTGATTGTAGACCAGACCATTGAGAAGGTTTCCTTCTGTGCTCCGGATCGCAACTTCGATAAAGCCTTTTCCTACATTTGCCGGGACGGCACCACCC